CCGCCCGGCGCCTTCTGGACAGCTGTTCACCTTTCCCAGTAAAACGAGAAATGACCCTTTTCTTTCCCTCTGGATTATTTTTTCTCTTCCGTCCCCAAGCCCACCCTCCCTTTCTCGTCATCCCTCTCCTGCCGTTTTTCTTTCGGGAATGAGAAACAAGAAGGGTGTCGCTGATAGGCTGTGCTCTCCGTCAAACATCCCTGCCGCCCTCTCCGGGATGTGAGTGGAGGTGTAACCGAGGCTTCCGCTCTCGCGTTTGGCATCCGTGTTTGCTTTTTAAGATCCAGGTTTCTGTTTGTTTCTGTTTTTAAGATTCAGGTTTATGGGGTATTGTTGTTTTGTGTTTGTCTAGCACCAGTCCAGATTTCGTAAAGGAACACTGATTATTTTGCCTTTTTTTACCATAGGCGGCGTGGACGACAGAGGGAATCCTGGATGTTTTACAGCCTTTTGCTCCAGCTGGTAGAGGAGAAAAAAAGGTTCACGCTGACCTGCAGCAGTTGCTTCCTGTGAAAGGGGAGAAATACCGGACACTGTTCTGGGATTATTTTTGCGTGCTGCGTCCTGAAAAGGCTTCTCAAACAATCAGTAGGCATCTGAGAAGAGAATTGAAGAAGTCGTGAGATTTTTTTTTCTTCAGTCAGTGCCGAGCACATCACCCTGGGATCTTTTGTCCTCATGGCATGGATACATTGCTAAATTTATCAAATTCTGAATACTTCAGCTGCCAAAATGAAGTGCTTTGTTGTTTTTAGGTATGCTTACTTCTAGGCAGCATTCTGGCTGAGTCATAGGCATAACCAGTTTTGTTAACTGGATCCAGGTTAAATGTGGCCTGACTCACTGTGTAGACATTGCTGAAAAGTTTCATGGCAGATATTTTTTCCCCCTTACTTTATTTTTTAGATTTTTTGACATAACCTTCTTCCATTTTGCAGTGAGACCCATTTTCTAAATGAAGAATCTAACAGACGTTTGTTTATCATTTTTTCCTTTATACTTTATGTAGTATTTTTGCTGAAAAATGTTGTTGCCAATAAGCAGTATGGAGGTATCCAGATAGCTGTTGTTTACAAACGCCTCTGTTACCTGAAGCTGGGAAATGTTCTACGGTTCGTATGTGAAAGTTGGATTTTTGGCTTCACAGTTTGTGGTGTAAAACGTGTATATATTTTACCTGGAGCCGATGCCTCTTACAGTGATATTTACATGGAATAGACAAGACAAAAAGCTGTCAGAGACAAGAAAAGATTTTTAAAACAGACCGTTGGCAAACTTTGTAAATAGCCTCGTTGAATCTGTAAAAAGAAGGATGGATAGCTGATTTCTGTGAGGTCAAATTTATGTCAGAGTGCTACGAATGTAGTATCAACGGGAACTCGGGATATTATCTCAAGGAAAACAAACTGGAAAAATACAGATCTCACAGTGCTAACACCTTGTGTCGTCCTCTTGAATTAGGTAAGTGTTGTAGTGTTCATAAATCCATTTACAGTTGAATAAACCTTTTATCAACAGAACAGTTAAAATGGTAGTGTTTATTGCCTAGACGTTGTTGTTTGGGGTTTGTTTTCGAGAACCTCGAAATGAGCTTGTTAATTTTTACTTCCTGCTTTTTATAATTAATGGAATGCTTCTTTATGAATTTGAAGAATACATGTACAAGGAGAAGCGTGTAGGTAGGATTTTTATGGGAGATTAAAAAGTAGATACATCTAGACCAAATCCATACGGAATTTAACCTTCATGTTGATGTTGTAATCTCAGCAATGAGCTGTTACGTACATCTGAACGAGTCTGCTGGATGGCTTGCATGTCTCAGTCTTCCCATTTGTATTAGATGTTTTTGCAGCATCGAGGTGGTACTAATGTAGGTGGGGTTTTACTCTTTTTTTTTTTTCTTTCCACTGTTCTTTGTCACTTGTGAAAGCCAGCTAATTTTTACCAAAAAGCATTTTACTGTCTATGCAGACTAGATTTTTACTGTGTTGATATTTTACATTTGGGTTCAATGTATTTTCTTATTCTGTAATGGGAATGAATGAATGAGTATGGCTGGTCTGCAAGTATAGCATTACAAAAACACTCTGTTGTCTTGGAAGAATTCAAAACAAAATCTAGTGGTGAAGTGGCTAATCTTATATGTTATTTTTAGATGTATTGCAGTTCCCTTTCTTGTATGGTGATTAAATATTTCTGTGGATAAAATTTAAATGTTGAAATTAATATGTTTATAATATTTTTTTGTAGGTTTGCATTCAGCTGAGCTGCTACTGCCTTAAAGAAAATTAAGATGAACAGAGCAACTTAATTCAAAAGTCAGTGGTAATTTTACTAAGTTCTTTCTTCTCTATCCCCTCTTGATGATTCATAAAGCTTTAAATAATTAAAGTGTTATTGGGTAGACCTTAAACTGAGAGTCTGGTAAACACGTCACGTTTACCTTAGTTGTCAGTTTTTAAAGATATTTTTAAGGGTTTCTGCAACACTGGAGTATTAGTAGTAGTGAACTAATGAAAAAAAGAAAGGTTTTCTCTAAAGGCACTGCAAAGATGATTGGGAAGATGGCTTGTATTAAAACCTTGTAGAAAAAGTGAAGTTAAGCATGTGAAACTGTATTTAAAGATTACTACAGTGTTTTTTTCCTTCTGTAGCTTGTTATTTCGACCACAAATGAAGGACTTGCATTTACATCAGTTTTATAAATTCTTGGACTCACTAAAGTTATATTCTATGTGTTGTCAGTATCTAAAAGTTGAACTAGCTTTGGTTTTCTGCTTTGGATGATCTCGCTGTTTTGTAATTTTAACTTGTATTTCAGTTTTGTTGTTTTGAAAACATGGAAACTGTGGAGCATGAATAGGAGGCTGTTTCTGTGATCTCTGGCTATGGCTTGTGATTCTTCTGTGTTGAGTCTTGGTGTGGCTGGGAATTGACTGGTAAGGTGAGCCACATGTGAAGGAACCAAAGGAATAGAAAAGAGTCATCTTCCTCATTCCTGTGCTTGGTTCAATGTGTTTTGTTTGAAAGCATTTGGTAAATGGAGAGTTTAGGTGTGAGTGGTCATTTCATTTGATTGTCGTCTGTTTTATGCTCATGATATTATTCTAGGTGTTCACTTCTTAAGTCATAGAAAAAGTGATGTGTCTCTTTTCTTCAGGCTACTTCAGTGCTGTGAGATACTTTTATCTCTCTTCAAGAGGCTCTCACTGAAATCTTCCCACACTTAACTATTTTGGGTGACATCTTTATCTAGATTCTTTCCCTTCTGGAAGTTTTGAAGAGTTTGCTTTTTAGCTTCATGTAATTAGCTCTGTCTTTCCCCCTCTCTGTATGTTGGTAGGGTAATGTTTTTATTCTTTTACCATGTTTACACTTGGGAAGTTGTGACGTCCCACACTTAAGAGGAAGGAAGCACCCAAAATTTGTAAATACTCATTGGTCAGAAGGAAAAACAAAAGTCAGAGGGCTCACCAAAAAATCACAAAGTTTTGTTAGTAAATTATACATTTGGCATTGAAACTGGTATGTTACTCCTACTATATAAGCACTATATAAGCACATGGCAGTGGGGTTTGGATAAAGGGTGAAAGACAAAGGAAGAGGTAAACTCAAGAGAGGGCAACAGAGAGAAAGAAAAAGCGGTCATGAGCTCTGCATGGCCCCTTCTCCAGTCACATCCCATTCTTTTGGGAGTGTTAGTACCAGCTATCCTTTGTCTGTTTTATAGCAACAATCGTTGGTTGGCTCCACAGCCATCCAGCTGTTGGTGTTTGAGACATACACACTACCCCTTCTGGGATCCTACAAAAGTGTATTTTATTTGTGTGCGTAAGTGTTCTGCAAGGATTCGGGCATGTTTTACAGCAGTGCCCTGTATCCTAAACAAAATTCATACACGGGTGAGGCCTATTGAGGAGAAAATGCCAAGCCTGCTGGTCAACTTTAATTTTTTCCCCAGGTTTTTATTTTTTAAGTGCTGACAGTCTGTTGAGTGGTTTGCAGGTGACTTTGAAGATAAGGTTCTTGCCCCCAAGAGCTTATACTTTAAGGCCTGATGTAAACATAGTTTTTGTAGAGGAATAACTGTCAGCAGTTATGTCTTTTACTGATGTGTTTATTTTGGTAGAATCGTAAAATGAGTACATTTGTTTTGGCCAATTCTTAAGAATGGTGTAGGTTGCTCTGCTGTGTGAAAAAACTGTTGGTGGGAACTTTTGAGAATAAGCACCCTTTAATATTGCAGCAAAGCTGAAGTGGAATTACAGCTGTAAAATGATAAAGGCAAATTGTGCAGATATTTAGCTTTGCACAAGTTAATGCACTCTATGTGCCTTTCCCCCCCCTCCATTCTAATGTGGTTATTCTGTTTAAAATGTGTGGATAAAACAGTGCAATGGTGACAATGCATCAATAACTTCAGAGGAAGTTCCTTTTACTTATGTTTTTAGTAGTAGGAGTAAATTCTGTCCTGCTAGGTGGAGGAGAGAACAGGAGAAATATTTGGAGACCTTATTATAAATAAACATGATTCAGAATTGGCCTGTGTTTTGTTTTGGTTTTTGTTACTCTGTGTGTTTGGGCAGTAATTACTACATAGCAACTGATGATGATGCCCTATGTGGTGCTATCAGCTCTTACACAGTCACCTCCTTTCATATTTTGGGTAAACGTAGTCAGGGAAACATCTGATATAGAGAATTGTTTCTCTGCTTTATATGCTCAGGATATGGCAGAACTTCTGCCTTTTTCTACTTCTGCTTCTTCCGGTCCTTGTGAAGACTCCAAATGGGAAAATAATTCCTCATTATGTAATGTATGCTGACTGGGACGGTGATGTTACTGAACTCACACTTCAGCTTTTGGACTTTGAACCTTGCAAAAGGGCAAGAGATTAGCATTTCTCAAGCTTTCTGCTTGATGATCAGTACCATTTAGCAGAACCATTAGACACTGAAGTGTGTAGAATTTCAAGCAGAAGAAACCTGGTTATGGTTTACCTTCAAATATGAAGTTATTTCATGTTATGAAATAATGTTGGGGTTTTTTTTAATTACTCTACATTTTGGTACAGTGCCAGAAGAAAAACTTTTTTTGGATAAGAAATCTTGATAATGTTATTTAAAGAACTTACTAACTTTGATTGTTGTGACATCTATATTTGACCCACAGAAGTGATATAATGCCTGTTGCTTGTGAACTGTGTGTATATGTAGAAAAGGTGATCATATGATAAAGCACAGTGGTTGGGATGTCTAGAATACCAGTGTCCCCCCCAGGTCTGCCAACATTCTAGATCCTTATGTAAAACAAAGGGCTTGGGCCCTGAGTACAAATGAAGGCGGATTTTCATTTTTCTCTTTTGTCTGTTTGTTTGTTTTTTTGCTAAGTCTCTGTAAAGCTAGGTGTTAGGACTGTGGCTGTGCTAGAGAATGTGTTGGCTTTAAATGGTTAAAAAACTGACCATTGCAATTTGTACACTTCTCATGCCTAGGCACGTCCTAAGACTTTTGGAAGTCGTCAGATTTGACAGAAGACCTTGTTCTTTTCTCAGTGTTCTACAGGAAGCTTTAGTTGCTATATTTCTTTTTAAAACATGAGGCAAGAAGATAAATTATAAATTGTCTGGATATCTTTTGTTCTTCCAGATTGTTCACTGATAGAATACTCATCAGGTCAGTGCTGTGTTGGATGATGGGGACAGCATAACTAAACCTGGAGGTTTTGTCTGGCTGTGCAGTAGCATGGTTGAAAAAGAAGAGGCTTCAGCTGAACTATTTTAGAACTTTAAATGTCTCCTGACCCAATGGGAGAGACCTTTAAAGGTTCTGATCTCTTTTATTGAAGGTGTGAGTCTTTGACAATAAATTTTAGAGGACCAAAAAACCTGAGAGAATTGCTGTATGCAAACTTAACCTTTTTGAAAGATGACTTTACATTGAAACGCAGCTGGGGGTGACATGAACGTTTTAGCCTTCAGAGCATTAAAAGCTTGATTGCAAAGATGTAAACTTATTTTGTTGTTGTGGCTGTTCATTTACATGGAGAAAAAAGAAAGAAAGAATCTTTAGTTGAAGTAGTCATGCTTTTGCAGCAATTTGTGATCGGTAGAAATGCCTCCAGTTTCAAAAACTCGTAAAGCTTGTGTAACGGTTTGAATATTATTTTCTGTTTTATTAACATGCAAATTCTGGATAGCAAAATAACTTGAAATTAGCTTATTTTGCTTTGTTAGAACTACATGAATTGCAGAGTAGTAAGGAAGATATCTAATAAAATGTGTCTTTAAAAGGGGAATGAAAATTGAGACAGGGTTTGAACAAAAGTATTGTTTAGCGCATACACTTGGCAACTTCAAATTAGTGCTACTCTTGACTAGAGATAACAGAAGAGGAGAATCTGTTATCATAGGAAGTGATAACAGTGGTGCAAACCACTTAAGGAAGGGGTTTTTTTTGACATAAGGTGTGTTTTGTGGCAGAAGAAAAAACTTTTGATGGAATGGGTTATTTTGAAGGCCTGCTTAGGCCTCCAGAAAAGTGCTGAATATTTCTGTATATGGAGAGTGTGTAGTCTGATGGCTGGGACTTGTGCACATAGTTTCTTTGCCTAATTCAGACCAACACTTAGAAGTTTTTCTGTGGCTCATGCTAAGTGGCTGAAGTAAACATTTGAAGCTGGCCCATGATGTGAGGACTGAAGGGAGAGTTTACTCTGTAGCTTGGTTATTCTAGAATTGCACTGTCTTAGTGAGAACTTTGCCTATGATGATGCTTCTTCAGAAAAAAGAAATGACTGTGGCAAATGCCTTTATCTTTTTGTTGTGATGAAATGCAGTACAGTTGGTATTTGGCATATCTTTGATAGTAAACATTCAGTTTTAATCCTAGAAAACTGTGTGCCTCTTTTCTCTTCTTGTTAGATGGTCAGTCTTTTCTAAGGCATCATACAGACTGACTTATCGGACCTTCTGAAATTCAGACATATGCTTCGTTTACCTTCTGATGAAATAAGAATTTGATACACTTGCTGGAGCTCATTACCAAGAAAGCAAAGCAGCCCAGAGTAGCTACAGACTTGAGACACTGAATGTAGCCTTTCTGCTCCTCTCATGACACTATAGTATACTTTAATTCTGATGGTTTACAATCTTCTTTTGCTACATTTATAAAAATTATACTAAAAATTATGATGACAAGATGAGGGTGGATTGTCAAATGAGTGTGTAGTTAAGGTTCCTACATGTAGTTTATGGTGTGCTGTACTTAATGTTATATATACTTAATGTAATAATAATCTGTGAGGCATTAGGTAAAAG